AAGTTTGATCGATAGGGGTGTTTGCATAACATCATTGTTCGATTTTCTGTTGAAAGAGGTACAGTGTAATTATTAATTAGGCTTAATCTTCGTGGCTTAATATCCACACTAAAGTGAAAATAAAGTCACAGTTCCCAGTATATATTAAAGCAGTAGGTTATTTGCATAATCGTGATTTTTATGGAGTAACTTAAATAATAATATATTAATTAAACTAAGTAATTAGATATTGTGGCGTTTTAAGTTTAGTTTCAATCTAATAATGTGCTACATAATGATAAGTATAATGGTAAGACTGGCACATCTATGTTCCTCACTCCATTAAGCCTAACGTTATAAAAACTTGGTTTGATTTGTTTTGGTGTTTAAATATCACAAATTGTTGTACTCAGCCTAGCACATACTAGCTTAATAATAATGAAGTAATTTCGTACATAATCAGTTTATTTATCAACAATTATGTTAATAAATTCAAGCAGTACATCTCAGTAGCTATCCTAACTTTAAATGCAGTCTTAGGACTCAAACTTGGTACATTTCATTGTATTTCCTCATAGTTTGCAATATTCAAAGATAAAGCTTGTAGTTGTATTTGTGTGGTGCATAAAACTTTTTGCTTTTGTGACTAAACCAGTTAATAACTGAATGATTGTACTTTTATGTATACTTGTACATTGCCTACATGTATCATTTCACATATGTTTCTAAAATATTAAAAAATACCACCATATTTAATACATTTTTACTATTTATGTACTGAATTGCTTTAAATCCATGTTTGTTTTTCTATAGGGTTCTTAATAACGAAAGTCAAATAAAAAATAGGCAAACAAAAACATCACCAGTATTGCATTTAATTCAACATATTACTACTGATGTCCAATTATTTAGCTTATAAAGATAAGTATTTGACTCAATTGTTTGTGGCCAGTTCTCTACATTGAGTATTGATTGTAACACACCAAAATAAAATTACTCAACAGGACACAATATGTTGATCCCCCACCCGCCCCAGTAGCAGATTGCAAGAAAAAAAGTGAGCTCTTTGGTTTAAATCTCAACTGACATGAATTGTAATGAGTGAAATAAACAATAATATTTTACTTTTCTAGAAAATAATAGCAATGATTGTTTGATATCTACTTTCAAACAGAATTTCCTTACATAATGTGGCTTAAACTTTTACAATAACAAAAGTTATACACCATTAATGTTGGATATCAATTACTGGTAAGCCACACTAACACATTACTAAAAATGCAGAAAGGGTATATCATATTTCAGGATAAAAGGACTTGCTTAATATATGAGAAAATATAGAACCTGTTCTAACTACACTCATGCATACAAATAAAAACAGTAGTAACCTTGACACGTTAGTATATATTCTGCATTCGTAGACAATATGAGAACAATTACCAATAATGAACACATATCCAGTAATTAAAAGTCATATACATGTACAAACACACATTTAACTCTTGAACAAACATATACTGATAATAAAATAAGGAGCAAACAGCCGGTGTTTAAACTGCTCTCTCTGTTATGCAAGATCTGAAGAAAGCTGTTAGCTGGATTTCAAAACAACAGAGCACAAAAAAGAAATGGAATGAGTTAAAATGTTACAGGTGACTTCAGAAACTTATCTTTGGGGCAAAAACGTGTGGTCTGTCTATTTTATATAGATGACCTATAGTACTGGAGGAAGTTTCGTGCAACAGGTTGTGGAATCAGTTCATATGCCATGTGGTCATTACAAGTTGGTTTAATGCAAAATGTTACATGGTTAGATTTATTATTGGGTACCAAAGGTTGCTCATCACTGCCATTTCCAACCATATTTTTCTACTGCCAGGTTTTTTAATTTGATGGGATTTCCAAACTCTTTAATTATCTAGTAACTTGCAGTTGTCACAGTTGACTGAAAGCCCTGCTTTCAAAGTATGCTTGGCAGTAGCTGAGTTTGTGCTTTCAGAAGTCTGGTGCTGTGTTTGTGTTCATTGAGTCTGTCTCCAAAGTGTCTGGCCATTTAACCAGACGTACACGTGACTGGCCTTCCATCTAGAAACAATTTTTTAGAATCTCTGCTGAAAGAAGTATTTTCTATTATGACCACATTTCTTCCATATTTTAAATTAATGATTACCATACAAGATACATGGTAAAATGTTTGACAGTCTAAATCCAGTACTAAATACACACATACTTGTATATATTCCAAAAATGTAATATTCTGGCACTTAACAAACTACACACATATTTTATAATAAAAAATCAACATATGCTCAAAACATACATTTTTCCTATCACTAAGACTACATTTTTTTTACAACCTAATAAGCAAGCAGTTGGTAATCCATAATAATCAGTGTGTTTTATCACATGCAGTGCATCTGTGCTAGATCATAACATATATTAGATCAGAGATTTACTTTCAAAAACAGGGTTTTATCTTTGATTCTATGTATAATTATATATGTATTCTTAGCATATGAAAGTTGTTATTCTTAACTTTGTTTAACACAAACTGGAGTTTATTATGAGACATTTCTGTAAACGTAAATAAAATTACAACCTATATCTCCAGAATGTAACTTTATTAACTCAATATTTCCCTGTTACAATATGAAAAGTATGCCAACAGTATCAAACAATGAATAGGGGCATTAAGAAATTGTGCCCTGGGACTTGAACCCAACATGCTTGGCTCACGTTAGTGCTTCATGGCTGATGCTCTACCTTGAATAGAAAACTTAATGCTTTGTCTGGTAATGGTCTGGAGATGCCATGTAGTGTCTTGTGCTGATGGCTTGAAAATGTTAGGCTGTTATAATGTAGGCTTAAGGATACTGGAATCTACTTAGTAGTCTCACCCCTGAGGGTCATCAGAGTCAAATTGTGTTACACAACAACTACATACATCAGGCTAGTTACTGATTCAAGCATGCACAGAGATGGTCTGATTCACAGTTTAAATGAATATCAAGGGTGGAACTACTAGCTGGATTCTAGTATATACACATATCATGATATTGAAAAATCAACCATAAATGAGTCTTTCACTGCTGCTCTCAGTCCAGTGGTCCACCAACTCTGCTATACCAGGAGTGACTTCAAGCAGGGCAAACAACCCCCCTTTTAATCATCATGCTTATAATCTAGGTTGAAATGACAGACACCAACAAGAAATAACAACAAAGTGCACAATTAAAATTATATTAAATCTACGGGAAAAAAAATAAAGCCCACAAAATAAGAATACATACAAAAAATATTTCATAAGCATATCCTCATTAATTTTCTGATTACCGAGTTTCAAACTATTCTTTACTGTTATCTGATCTTTGTAGTATCAAAATTGTGAATGAAGTGACATCTGACATTTATGTAATTATTTTTATTACAAATTATTCCAAGAAAAAACCAAAAACAATTTTTAAACCTACAAACAACACACACATATTACCTTCATTAAAACTAAGATTTTATCCTGTACTTGTTATAAATATATATTACTTACACTTTACTATTATTAAAACAGATAGTAAAATGTTATATAATCTAAAAGTGACTGGACTGTATATGTATAAGTGATCAAATTTACAACATATTTTAAATTTGCCTTCAATGTACAGGTAGAACATTTAAATCGGTACATAAATTACTGACAGTAGGCCTAATGATAACGTCATGTAAATACATGCAGAAACTTTAGCCTTATAAGAATTTATTACTAATAATTAAAAAAGTTTTACAAAAATAGGAAAACATACATACATACATTATTATTAAAACATCTCTTATGACTCTACATGTATATAAATCAAGTATGAAAAATATTATTTATATATATCTGCATAAATATTTTTTCTCACATTCAGTTACTCAAATACGTCCAGTAGGTATGAAATATCAATCTTGTTAAATTACTTTAAGTTTTACAGCTTCATAATGGTAAAAAAATTACAGTAACACCTCCAGTTCCTTTTAATATTCTACATGGTTTTTTTACCGAGATTCACATATTTTTATTGTTTCTTATAAACAGCCTTCATTTTTATCCATCTCCCAGTACTTACATTCTCATGTGATGATAAATCATCAAGATAAGTTTACTTTTCTACAAGTACAACCATAAGAAGAAGAAAACGGGGGATATATAATTTAGTAAAGTCTCGTAGTTCTGTTTGTTTTTTACTTCAAAACTAAACATTCAAGCTTCCTGACTTAATCTAAGTTCAACATTCACTATTGGTATGAGTATGTTGTAATTTATACAGTTTGTAGTATCTGCTAGAGGGGGTTTCTTTAGCACGATGTAGTGATGGTTAAAAATGTCAATATGTGTGTAGATTTGGCATGATGTCTCAGAGTTGAGGGAAAGAGAGATGAAAATTACAAGTGACTGTTAAGTTTTATTTATGATTCAGGACTATGGCTTGACAGATTTCTATAACTAATGGAAGAGTGGACTAGTTTGAATTATTTTTACCAAAAAATCAAAAGAACCTGCCCAACAACAGAAACCATTACAATACTCCACAGTTTACAAATCAGTAATCCAACCTCAGGCTATACAATGTAACATACAAGAAATTTCTAAATCGTTAAATCATTTGGCCTTTAACTTCTGATTAAGTTCTAGACCAAAGACGGTGTTTTATCTAAAGCCTTCATTGTTCAGGGCTAGTGGAAGGAACAGCCTCAAATGTTACAACACAAAACATTATATATTTAACTTTGAAGACGTCTATTCAGGTTGATGGTGAACGAGAATTTAGAGATATTTCTAGTTCTACTCTACAGTATACTATTAATCTGAAAATATACAGTTTCCTACTTCATTGCAATGACTATGTTATTAACTAAGTCGTCCTTGTTCAGTTGTGTACCTAACATGTTATCGTTACTGACGTTAGTTAACTTAAAAGTGAATGACCTCTGACTCATTTTGTTTCACCAGTAGTAAATAAAATATAAAAAACAATAGTTCTTACTTGTCAGTCTTATTTTAGTCGCTCCATTTCTTCTACTGCTAGGCTGATTGGCCATGTTATTAATGTATTTATTTTAACAAACATTGAGAATACTTTCCCTAACCATTTCCCACCCCAACATATCGGAATGCACAGACCGAACTACTTGCCCCAGAATACTTTATACTTCAGCCTTCTATGTAGTAGACAAAAAGTAGTTCTATTATCTTATCTATAAAACTTTTGTCGGTATTATTCCTCCAAGTACATTTGTCTTTTCAAATTTGAGCTAGTTATTAAACCAACGTATCACAGAAACTATAAATAGTTTAGTTACAGACTGTGTTGATAAATTCTATTTTAAATTTACAATAACACTGTCAGTCACACTATCGAAAATAAATAATGGGGGTTTGTTGTAGTTTGAGATTTCAAGAACATCCACTTAACAATTTTCTTTCAATAATAATATTATCAATGATAATAATGTCCTAAGTACATACTTTTATTTCATTCGATATTATAAATATCAAATACACAATTCTGAACAATTTTTGTACCTTTTCATTGTCGGACAAATACAACTATTATAGTTTTTGTTTTAATTATACACGACATTTTGTTTACTAACTAAAATGGTTCGTTCTTAACCTTAAGCACTTAATGTTAATAATTTTGTGTGAAAAGTATATAGTACATATAACATGTATAGGGAGTTAAACGTATTTCTACATATGAAAATAGTTTCATGAAGCACAGCGGTATGTCTGCGGACTTACAACGCTAGAAACCGGGTTTCGATACCCGTGGTAAGAAGAGCACAGATAGCCCATTGTGTAGCCTTGTGCTTAACTACAAACAAACAAACTATATATGAAAATAGTTTCTTTGTGACATTGCTGAATCAAAGTGCTCTGTTTTGAGATATGTTTGTTTGTGTTGAATTTCGCGCAAAACTACATGAGGGCTATCTCCGCTAGCCGTCCCTAAGTTAGCAGTGTAAGACAGCTAGTCATATCACCACCCACCGCCAACTTTTGGGCTACTCTCTTACCAACGAATAGTGGGATTAACTGTCACATTGTAACGTACAAATGGCTGAAAAGGCGAACATGTTTGATGGCACGGGGATTCGAACCCGCGACAACCTGGCCATGCCGAGCCGAGATATAAGTGTTAGTAAAATATATTGTAATTATGTAATAGAACATTAAATGTCGTTATTTACATTTTCGAGAATGGGATATGATTTATTCGAAACAACTCAGCTATAAAACCAAGTCTATAAATAGGGCTAACTTAAGATGGTGTAAAGAAATTGTCCTCTTAATGCCTTGAATTGACTACTGAAACTCCGACAACTTGCTTAAAAAATTAACTAATTATGACAGTGTGAACATATTCTGAAGTTTCAAATAGCAGTTTATTAATTATCTTGTAATTTCTTTCTTTTAAGCCTCGTAGAATTCAGAAATCTTGTGTTTCAAATTTTGCCAGCGTGATTGGACGCTGTATAAGCTTAGACTATCTAATTAACGTTACTGCTTTTTTTTTCTGAAATAACCACCAAATTTTAATTATTTCTTTAACATATTAGTGAACCATTTGTAACTCTTTGTAAAAGTCACTGAAACTTACTACATATTGGTGTTCGATTTGATATCCACTATCGCAACTATATATATACTTATCTGTTAGTTGTTAAGAGCAAAGCTGCCTATACTTTGCCCACCGCGGGTATCTAAACTCGATTTTTTAGCGTTATAAGTTCTTAGACTAATCGCTAAGCCACCTAGATGCGTAGCTATATAAATACGTTTGTTTGTTTATAGAGCAAAATCACATTGGGCTATCTGCTGGTTCCACGCAGGGATTCGAACCCCAGATTTTAGCGTTGGAAGTCTGTAAACAGTAATAATGTTTTTTTTTATATCTTAGACAGCCCAAGTTCAAAATTCACACATACAAAAAAAAAACACTTTAAATAAATTACAATTTTTTATAACGCTTAAACATCTAGTTTTAATAAGTTAAGTCACAATCGCTCTGCTCACCAAATTAATATAGTACACCATACAGATGTAAATAAAGTATGCGGTGAGTTTCTTTAAATAATGTACTAGACCGAATAAGATGTTAAAAAGCAAAATCTCGTGTACAACTAAACTACACTGAGTGGTCACAAGTAAAT